ATTTTTAAACCGGCTAAAAAACTCTTTATTGGGGTTGTAATATAATAAGGGAGAAGAGTCGAATTTGATTTCAAAATTCTGTAAACAACGAGTTGGTTCCCAGTCATGGTCGAATTGATTCCAGGTAGGTCAGCTAAGCGAATTAAAATAAATATAAAGAAAAGAGAAATGCAATTTTAAGCGGCGACCGTGGGTTTTTATGCGCTTTGCTTTTGTTCAAGGCATTTTAAGAATAACAAGTAGAATAATGAAGAAAACGTCATTCGTTCTTGATTTAAAAATTGTATACGTATTACCTATACTATAATTTAAATAAATAAATTGTATTATTTTTTTGAAATTAATAGTGTTTTCTTTTAGTGAAATACGATTCACACAATAAGTGTTCTGTTTTGTGCAATAATGTATTGGATGCAAAAAATACTATTCGGAAATTTTTCTTAAAAAAATTCTTTAAATAAAATTTAACAAATGTATTTTACTACTGGTGAAAAAAATATTTATTTAAATATTTACACAAGTGTTGTGAACCAATTCGGCTCTTATAGAAATTAACGGCTATCGGGAACCACCTAGTTCACAATTCGTAATAAGCGTTCGGTGCATCTGAAATTACTAATTATGTGGCATCGCCTTGTTTCAGGTGCTCCACAAATTCTCGGAGTGAATTCTTAATAAAATATTTGAAATAAGATTGCGCAATCAAGAACAAGAAGAACTAATTATGGAAGTCGGAACTTTTATTATTATCGCAGCTGTAAACTTTCAATTTAAACTTGATAAAGGTCTTTAGGTTTTATTTTAATAAAATAATTGCACTTTGCTCTTCATTACGATAGAACGGTTGAGCAGCAGCTGGTGTGTCTTTACAGTTAGCGATAATTTGCGATTTATTGAACTTTATGTGTCGATAATAACAATTTCATAAAACTGTGACAGTGTTCGAAACGTTCACCAATAAAATGTCTACTAACTTACCAAAACATCTATAAACTATCTCGGCGATCATAAAACTATGATTAAAGTCTTCCGTTCGTTAGAGGAAATAGTTCGGAAAAACTAATTTTCAGCGAGAGCTTTCAGTGGTAACGTTATAAAATATTTCGGTTTCTTTTAAATTTATGAATCAACGACTTTAATATTTGTTTCATGTTTGAACTACAATAGGTTCGATGCGTGACCGAGGAGATTTCATTTTGAACTGAAACAGAAAGGGATTAAAATCAAATTTTACCGATTCTGGAGAGGTGATTTATTGTATGAATAATTGGCAAAAAAAACTTTGGCTCAATTTGCGAATGTAAATTGTAATAATCACATCAAAAACCATCACATTATTAGTAATTATTGGTGAATAACCACAGTTTGTTGATTTACAATCTGCATCAAATCTAATAAAGCGAAAACGTAGAGTAGGTTCACCATTACAGGATACAAACAAATGGAAACTGTTATGCATTATTAATTTTTTATAACCAACTGAGCTCTCGTACACCGATTTAGATTGGATTAATATTTATCCTAATTATTAAAACGCGTGGAAAGGATTAGCCACTTCACTTTATCATATCATCTATGAATTTTACATATTCATCGAACGAGTTCATCGTGAGAAGAAGGAATGTAGAAAACAAATGAATGGAGTTTTTCCCATCTTGTTTGTACGTTGAAAGCAGAGTAAGATCAACAGTTTAATGTTTTTGTTCTTATTTATAGGCAGCGTCGTTAGAGTAATTTGATTGTGACTGTTGATTTTATTTTATTTTTCAATACGGTTTGAAAAAAAACCGTAAACAAAGATAAATTACATGGAGATGATAATAAATTCATGAGAACAGCAAGATCAGGAAACAAAATACAAATTAATTCTAATGATTTTTTAATCAAATGAGCTTATCGTGTAGATTGCATCTAAAGCGGCGCATTCACGTGATTGAAAATTAGTTACAGATAGTTAGACGCGGGATAAATAAATTAGACGTTAGCGAAGGTTTTAATTAAGTTTCATAAATCAATATGAGTCTAGCTTTCGGATTTTTCTTTGATTTAAAACTATGTGTTTTAGAGAAATCGTCGTCCATGTTTGGTCATGCAGTAGCATCTTGTTCATCTGTCATGTCTGGTGCATAATGAACATTTTCAAGGTCTGTCTACAAGAATAAATAAACATAATCTCCGAATTGGTCGTAACATACAATAATAAGTTTTATGACATTATTAACATTAACAAAGTTAGACTTGGAAATCAGACTCCAGAAGACACTTCCAAAACAATGAACTTCTTATTTAGTAAAGTTTTCCTCCTATTTTTTGGTGCATTATAGAGAGACTTTAACTCTGGCCCAGCCCAGATTCAGTATTGTCACTAACTTAATAAAGACAGACAGCTACAGGAAATGGCACAATTTGTGCACCATTATAGGGCGAGGTTAATTTTAGACGATATGTGGATCTTTAACATCGCATGCATATTTCCGAAGTGAAAAATAATCAACCCTTTTCGTACACTGACCGGGAATAAATCGCGATAAGACAGAAGATAAACTTATGTTTCAGAAAAATAGTAGATTCTATAAAAGAGTTGTTTTGTATCTTGAATTATACATGTAACATACGTCAACCTGTCAAACTTTATTGCTATTTCCATTGTGGTAATCATTTCTAAATGTAAATGTTTTATTTACGGAGACATACTAAGTGCGTGTTACCATCTGTGAAGAATAAGAAACAGGTGATAATTGAATTGTTCGTACTGATAAGCACCGCGGTTGACTTATTGATTACCTATCGGCAGTTTTCACATCTAACTGACTTTTCGGAGAAGACATTGTGACCTTCTGTGACCTACTTCAATTCGAACAATTTTTAAACTGTAGTTTTTTGTCAGGGTTACCTCCCAAGAACGGTACGTACATTATTTTTCACACTTCACATCAATAAATCAACACCAAACAACTCCAGTCTACTCAAGTGAACAGATGTCTTCGACTAGTTAAACAAATACAATCAGCTCAAAATTACACACTATCCGAAATAAATCAAAAATATTGTGCTAGCGTAACTGTGGATCCTTTTTATTTATTTAACTCGCTCTTGTCCCGATATTCTTTACCAAAGAAATAAAAAGTATAGTGTAAAAACAGTTTTCTAGAAGGTTTTTAGTCGGAATTCAGCCCGGTTTAGTCTATTTATTATAATTCAAAGCATGTTGTGACTGTCGGTCGATATGGCAAAGAAAGAATGCAACGAAAATCTATTCATCATTCTTTAATTATGCAAAGTATAGACCACAACACAACACAATTTAAAAAAAGAAAATATATTGACAGTTGGCAATTATAGTAGAAAGGAAAATATATTTCAATTCGGTTTTAACATCATTTACAACGTTGGTTATATTGAAAAGACAACTAATTAAACATCACAGTGAGAACAATTGAATTTTAAGTCGATTTAGATGTATAATTACTTTTACTGTCTTAACCATCCTATAAACGTCCATCGTCTCGATGAAATCCTGACAATTTAACAGCCATTAAAACAAGGGTTTCGATAAGCAATATTCTGCTGATATGTAAACTGTAACAACATCTACCCTCTGTTATCACTATATTTATTATGCCACAAAGAAAACTTGCAATCGATAATAAAGCTTCAATGTGGAAAATAGCATTTCAAATTGGCGTGAAAATATAATCAAGTGAAGTGTTATAATATGTCCTAATTAATTGCAAGCCAATAGAACATCTAACTTTGTATACAACATTCACAGTATTTGCAGGAACAATAAAAATTGTCTTGAGTTCATTGCTTCATGATGGTGTTGTTAAAAATCGTCTATTTTTAAGACGGATATTATACATGGTGTCCCATTCTCACGTAGTATTAGAGTTCATATTATTTACTTTTTTATCGATTTATTGTATTATATACTGGGTGAATATAAAGGAAGTATGGAACCAAGCGGTACTTTTAATCATTTGCCTCCAGAAAATAATAATTAGTATAAATTAAAGAAATAAAAAAAAAAATGTAATCGTATTTTGAGTACGAACTTTTGTTGTGTTTTTGAGTTATGGGATTTTTTGTCAAAATTGCAATTTATGTCAATTTTTTTTTAATTAAATATGAAGTAGATAGTTGTAATCCTTAGATCATAACCTTCATGAAAAAAATGGTTATATAGTGGGTTGAGTTTTTAAAAAATATTTTTTTGTAGTACTCAAAAACAAAAAAATTCGAAAATTTTTATTCATGATAAAACATCACATTTTTGTAGTACTTTAACATTCATCAGTTAATTTTTTCGAAAAATAAATACTTTAAGCAAAAAACGTTTGGTTCCATACTTTTTATTCACCTGGTATGTAAGCAGATTGTGTTTTTAATTAGCGTTGACGACAAAGTGCAGGACCTCCTCCACTTAAATGGAGAATCCTGTTCGAAAATGGTGCTTTTGGGATCGTTTTCGAGTGTATGGCGGGACACCCACATTGTCGGCGCTTAAGAATCCATCACATTTGACGTTTTTATGTGTTCAAACACTTAGCCTATAAATTAATTTCGGCACTCTGAGTCCGAAGTGCAAGTTGTCCAGGTGCCCTGTGGCAATAGTCCGGTTGTTTAGTTGGTTTTATTGGCGTGTTGTTGATTTCGGTGTTCTCTCGGAAGTGAAGGGTCTGAGTTATTGTTGTGCTTGTGCCGGTGGTCCCGGTGTCGAACATTTGAAATTGGGTGTGTTGATATGTTGATTGGTGGTGAGGCATTGTGTGCGTTAATTGCTTCTGAGGTCCAGGGGCACGGGTCCGAAAAAGTTCTAATTGAATTAAACGTGTCGCGGCATCCGGAATGCGACCGGCCAGCCCCTGAACCTTGCCATAGCTATCAACAATATAAGATAATGAACGCGTATTCCTGATGAAGAGCAGGGGGGCGCTGGGGTGCAGACTGCAGCACAAGTACAGCACGGAGTCGCAACCACGGCGTTACTCAGTTGGAATCCGTGCCTCAGCTTGGGTGGCTGCAGCCGTTCAGTGGCCTCAGTGCTCGCAATGCGCTCGCTCTTCACGGACGACTCCACGAACTCCAACACACGCGTTGTCTCGGTGCCTCTCGTTCCGATGCGATCGACTTGTGCTTGCAATTGAACGCAACATACATGGATTTTATCATACTTAAGGTAAGTGCCTCAGAGCACCGCAACTTTCGCGCAACTTTATGGATACTTCGGGCTTTGACCAAAAGTGAAACTTCGCACACATTTGCATTGTTTCTGCAACCACGAGAAACTTCCACAAACTTGCTTTCAAGGCAGCTTTTTTTCAAAGCATTTTAAACCACCACCTGTATAGATTGTCGATCCTGCAGAAATAGCTAAAGTCGACTTTCGGTGATTAAAAGCGGATTAAAAGACCCTCGCTTGACTTAATCACTTTCAATCAGAAATTATTAAATTGACTTGAAATTTTTTTGTAACTAATCACATGTGTTGGGCAAAATTGTACAGTTAGCTGTGTTTTAATTGACATTTATTTGCTTAATTGCGTTTCTGCAGTGTTATTAAGCACGTGTAAAATCGGCAATTAGTGCTTTTAAAAATTGTAATGGAAGCAATTAGGAGTATGTAAGTTGAGTGATACCCTTGATTTGTTATTTTAAATAACCAAAAATTCAAATCGTGCTTTACTTTGAACGAAGCTTATCAGATTCGTCATTTCATTATACAAACTGCGTTTATCTATTTCATTTATTTTGCGAATTGTCGGAAACATTTTGAAATTAAAACTTATGATTGATTCAATCTCAGTTAGTCAGAGATTAATTACGCGCCATTGTGGCAGAGTTAAAAAACTTCTCATTTTTAATAATAAGGTAAAAGCTCCGTGACGGGCGGCGGTATGGTGGTTAGGTTTAGTTTCGTGGTAGTTTTACAGAAGTGTCAGTCGATATCGTTAAAAATATAGAAGTTGGGATCCAGTCTTGAGACAAGGATTTGTGGGAGGATTTCAAACAAATAAACTTTAGTCGGCCTCGATTCGATTCCCTTTCGAGTGGGAAATTCAGGTGGATCCCCGGAGTGAAATGTCACAGAATGCTTTTGATTACTTGAATGCGGATTAAAGATGACAAGTTTATGCATTTCTAACTTCCTGACTTGATTCGCTTACTTGCCTTGCTTTAGTCGTCTTTTTTGTTTATCTCTATTGTTTCGTTTGGAAATTTCAATATTTGTTTCATTTAATTTTCCACAGAACTGTTTAAATTTTTAATGGACCAAGGCCGGCTCGATTTTAAAGACCATTTGCCAGTGAATATTCCAAGCTATTCCCATTAAACTTTCTATACCACTGAAAGGTATAGAAGGCCGTATAATAGGTATAACTATTTAGTCCACCCACAACTATGTACGTTTAATGGGGATTTAATCATTGAAAATGTTTCATTTCGAGTTGAATTTACCAAATGATGGTTAATGTGCATTATCGATTACCTTTCCAAAAAAAAATTAAAAGGAAACAATGATCGTAAAATTACTGTTGCAGCACATAAATGTCAAAATTCCGTGTAATAAGGTGTTGACTGAGACATAAAAATAAAAATGGTAATCATAGGTGTTGATGTTATTACCTTTTTTAGCCAATGCTACGGAAAATTTTATAGCTCAATTAGTGTCACTCTTTTTACTTAACTTTTTTGATTTTCACACTTTAATTGTTTTAATAATTAAGATTATATGGCTTTTTAATGAATTTTGTTAAAAATTAGTCTCATTTTTTAAACAACTGAAGAATAATTTAAAAGCGCTACAGCAATAACTTACTTAACCTTACTCGTCTGTTTTGACCCGTTTTATTTATTCATTACCTGCTATTGTTCAAAAATGGAACTGGTCAGGTAGAAAATATTTCACCTTTTCAACCGCTAATATCTTTACAACTATCCGATAGTTTACTCAGAAGTATCCAATGAAATAGACGTTGTAAAATTGCACTTTATACTCTGTTGATATTATTTTACACAATAGGTAATGCTATGTTTGATCAAGACGGTAGTTTCGATTGTTTATTGTTTCAAGATTGGGTGAACGTGCTCTCGACAAGCATGTAAAAGTGCCGCACTTAAATTTACTTCCACTTTGCATTTTTGCGCGTTTTCATAATTTACTAAATATTAAATTTTCATATTGTCTCTCTAATATTCCTTGCACCAATAAAAATTGCAAGCATTATCTGAGTATTCATTCCCAAGCTGTATTAAAGATTTTATTAAAATCTTGTCATTTATCTCGTGTTTGTATTTTACTGTTTACGTAGTTGTGAATACATAAACACACTTGTTTTGTTTATCATCATATTGATATTTGTGTCATAACATTTGTTTTAAACATTGGCTGTGATATTCACTGGTTTTTTCAAAATTGAATTATTACTACCAAATTATTATCAGTTCCACCTGTCATCACAAGTTGGCCAGTTCCAAGAAATATTACCAAAAAAAAAATATTTTTTGATACGAAACTGATACGGGATGTAGGTAGTTGATAGAAACATGATACATAAAGTTTGTCACAGCTCTCCAAACAAAGAAGTAGTGAAATAAAAGAATGTCCATTAAGAGGGAGCTTTACCATATCGAATTAGCAGCATTAGTCGTGTAATGTATTGCCTTGATTTAGTTGATTTTTTGCTTTGATTAGGTTGAGTGTAACTTTTTACTTGGTCCCTTTCTGTATAATATTTGATTAAAGTAGGGTTTGAATCCCTTTGCTAAAGTTTAAACCACTTTGAGTTGCCAATTAAATGTAATAAAAATTTTCCCGAATACAAATATCAAGATTGACTTGAAAACTCTATAGCGACCAGTGCATGTTGTGGTTAATTAGTTTTGGTGGCCGAATTAATTATCTAATTTCTCCTTAGAAACCTGATAGTGGTGTTGTAAATAAGCGTAGCAACTCGGCGCTTTAAAGACACGCCTGAGGATTAGAAGCACCTTTTATAGTGGATGTGGCACGATTTTCGCTTTGTAGATTTTAATCTTGGGGTGTGCATTATGCATTCATGCATCGGTTATGTTAGCTATCTGTTTCAGGGGTACTTGGTGACACCTTAAGAGTGAGATAAGATCTCCCATTAAATCCGCACCTCACCGGTATAAAAAACTAATGTTTCGCTATTTAAAGCAGATTTCTTGGGAAATACTTCACGGAACTTGCCAGACACTTTTCACTTCGTTTGCTCCCTGAACACGAACGAATAATAATACCGACGATTATAAACACAATAAATCTACCAAACGTTCCGACTATTTGATTCTTATCGCACCAATAATAATAATTAATGATAATGTGTCGTTTTCTTTTGTTTGATTTATGTGGGAATAAAGTGTTGAGTAAATTGGGAGCGATCTTGTAGCGATTATTTCAGTGGGCACAAGATCGCGATAGAAATCGACAGAATCGAAGCTCGTCCGATTCGTATAAATTTCAAATTTAAACCAATTTGTTTGAAATTGAGTTTGTGTCGCTTTGGGAAAAGCGCTTTTATGTCTAATAATTTAAAAATCCGTTATGGACCCCATAGTTTTAATTAAATGATAATTATCGGATTTTTTGCACTCATCGGAGTATTTATCGGGTAGTTGTCGTGCGAAAAGGAGAATATAGTTAAAAAAAAATCACGTGATTTAGTTTTTGGAAACTGCTTTTGATCCATTTCCAGGTCGCCCACGACAAGAAATAGCAATCTGAGTAATGACAGTGAAATGTAAAATGGTTGTTGACTTGGGGCCTAATTGTGGCAATTGAATGTAAATGAATTTAGGAGAGATGTTTGGAAATTGTCTTTTGTGTTGTGGTGTTGGTGTGTAAATGAGCGGACAGATATTTTGGTTGTTTTTCCGCATTATTATTGGTTACCCTTCGGGTAAGGGTGGTGACCTAAATATTCTAATTTAGGGACGAATTTCGATAACATTGAAACCGCTTAGTGAAAACGACGTGGTGAGAGATTATAATCAAGACGCGGCATAAGCGATTAAGCAACCAGAGTGGCATACTGTTAAACAATTTATCATTGTTTTAAGCTTCAACAAAATTTTGTGTCATCTTGGCGAAATTAAAACGTGAAATATTTTTTGTTGGTATAATGTCGGTAATTCGTTTGGCTTGAGTCATGTGGAAATCTTCGCATCTGCATATTTTTCGATTCTTCCCTCGATGGTTTCCCCTTTACAGTGACGAATCGAATCATATTGCATTCACATTTCAGGGTAAGAATTTAAATCTTAAAAGTATGCTCATACATTGTATTGTTGTCTATCAAGCGAAAAATCCTCAGGGAGGGAGTACGGTATGATTTAAATATGCACTCGACTGATTCGATTTGGCACACTCTTTTAACATCATCGCATTATCACTAGACGCAAAACTCTGAAAAACTCAGACAAGATCTGCATGATAGAGCCGTTTTAGAACGAGTTGAAGCGTTAACACATCTCACATGTCCGAAAGTATTTTCACAATTCAACATTTTATGAGTTGTCGATGCCGCAAGAAAGGGTCTTGAGAATTTGTTTTTCTCTCCCTTTTCGACATTTACACAAAAACTAAGCCTCGATTTTAAGGTTACGTGCTATTATTAACTTCACTTAAGTGGAAATTGCTTTTTTTATTAGGAAATGCGAGATGGCACGACTTTTAAGAACATTTAGATCGTGATGTGGAATTTTTACTCGACGTTTTATGAGTTATTAAACGTGTAAGCATTTAAATTAAAACAAAATATTCCTCGTTTTCCGCTCATTTTTATTGCTCGGATCTGCACAATGATGCAAAGATTGCGTAGAACCCCTCTTATACTCCATTTAACCGACTCGCATGGGACCACTTCTCCGTTTCATATCACAGCCAAAAACTAAGCGATTTTCAATTTCCCAGCACAATGCGCTATAAATAAAATATAAATCAAGATAATTGTTGATAGTGAACTACTCGTGGTCGTTACATTGAACCTTAAGGTACGTCTTTATGCATAATCCTGACACGTGTTAATAGAATGCTTGCATACAATAGCTTCTGATTTTGTTTTGCGTGTTATTATCATTATGACTTCCATAGATGGATGAGTTGACGTGACCACATTTGTTTGAATTGTGTAAAGTTATTCTAATACACCAACT